TATATATATATATATATATATATATATATATATATATATATATATATATATATATATATATTAGTAGTCATCTTGCCATTTGTCTTCGTTTATATAATTAGATACAAATCCATGATTTATTTCATTCAGTGCTAATTAATTGTCTATCTATAATTTTCTTTTCGTATATTATGTTGTATTACATGGGAGATGTTATAATTAAAATGAGGGAGATATTAGTCCATCCATCTTCTTTTGTCATTTTGTCAAATTAATGCTTGTTTGCTCTTAGTCTCCTTTACCTAAACCTAAAACTTGGTAGTACCAACTCTAAGAAAAAAAATTGCAGCTCACAATTAGCTTTAAATAGTGAATTTTTCTATCATCGATCATGATTGGCTTATTCAGTTTGGACTCTTAGCGATGAATTATTAATTTTTCTATTGCTTGCCTTGCATCTGCATAGTGTAGAAAATTGAAGTATGGTGGCATATGTATTTCTTCATCTCTTTTTCTAATTTCAAGTCATGACTTGTTACTTACTTTATTACTCTTTGTTTGCATGTGAAATTTGTTTGAGTCCAATTTGGACTCCACTTCCCATTGCACCTCGAAAGAGTCATTAAAACTCAATTTCCCATTCATCGAGTCAAACCATAATTGACCGATAGGTCCCGAAGTTTTTTTAAAGGATTGCAGAAATTCGAAGAAGCGGGATTAGAAGATCTTTTCTTATTGTTTTCGTATTTTTATATTTTGTTATTTTTGGGTCTAAGCCCTTGTCTTATTTTATTTTTACTTATTATTGAATGCTTAGTCTTCTACAGGTGGCAAAGAAAAATGGGTCGATAACACAAAAGATAATGGGTCAAAAACCCAAAACATGTGGTCCCAAATTCCGATAAAGGCAAACAGAAACCGGATTTGAACCCAAAACTCTCTTCCTATCTCTCTCTCTTTAATCATTTTAATCTTTATCTATTTTATTTATTGTTAATCTTAAAGTTAAAGAATCTGAATCTCCGTAGAATGCCATAATGTTTTAATGACTTAAAATGGAATTAAGTTTAAATAAGTTTTGAAAAAAATTTCAATTTAATGTTTAACTTAGATAAAACCTAGGTATTAATTTCAGGATTAAGTTCTAAAGATATTTTTGCCTCAAAATAAAATATTGTTAATTATCTAAACAAAGTTAGTTGCTGGAAAACCGATTTCAACGGATATTTTATATGCCTAACACCTTCTTAAAATATTAATGTAGATCCTCGAACCCTCAAAAATGTTTTCATTAGATTTCTTTTCTGCTTAAAGTGTTTTGAAAAAAATAGTTTTCTTGATTTTCCTTTATAAAATAAGTGGAGACTTTCTAAAAAGTTGAAAACATATAAAATATATAAATACCTTTTTCGAACAAACCAGTACGTAAAAAATATTTAATGAATGCTTCCCCTAAGGATCGAAATCAATATCTTGGCATACCTACAAGATGCGTAAGTCTTGTAACACATAATCTTGGGTAAATATGAATCACTTAGGCGAACTATAAGTGAAGCATCATGGCTTATATGTGTGAATTCATAAGTGTAGAAAACAATTAAAAGTTAGTGAATCTAAGACGTTATGTGAAAAGATGATTAAATTCATAGGGGTTAGGTAAGAGTGTGACACACATTAAAGGTTCAGGTGTATTGGCATACAATGAAATAAACATTCACGTAAAGAGGTGAGTAATTATGAAGTTGTAGATATGCTAAAGTTAATAAATGTGGTGAAAATGTGATAAAAGGCTAATGTGAAAGGTGGCAGAAATCACAAATGAGCCTAAGTAAATGTTACCAAGACGTACTGACCTATGAGAGTGTAAAATTAAATAAAAGACCAGTCTCTATGAACACTCTAATGAAATTATTGATATTAAAGCATATTTAATATTAATGATGAGATGAGAAATCATCTAATGAGTTGTGATGCCTCATGCTAGAATCCAGCTGTTATGTTGCATGAGATGAATGTAATGGAACTTTATATTGAGCAACGATAGGCTAAGTATGAGTCACGATTCCTTCTTTCAAGAAGGCAGAAGCTCCTGTAATTCTTATGAGATAAGAATGTCCGTCTAGACAGGTATGGGTCTTCTTATATCTCATAGTCTTTGAACCTATTATGCCAATATATGGTTCCAGCAGCGTTCAAGTCTCTATATACACTAGCATATTTTAGTTCACTTTATCCGGTGATTCCACCTCTTTTTGGTGTTGGGTTAAACACTAGATTTCATGATTCTCACGTGATCTATGTTGGTTAAGGTTAAAGTTCCCAAAGAAAGAATGAGGTCATCCTCAAGTAATGCACATAATGAAATGAACGATACCAAATGTGTTAGGATAGGATAATCAAAAGGTGAGATATACTTAAGTAATGACACTAGGTCATTCTTGGTCATTGGACAGCGAACTCGAAGAAAGTCTTAAACTACATCCTAGGTATGACTGGTGTTTACACTAGCTTACGAAAAAATAAAAATGAAGTACGTATGAGTGAATAAAGCAGACTCTAACTTTGCTAAAGAAGGCTCCCTAGCTGAGGTCTCATATGTTGAGCCCTCATATTGGGAAGTCCTAATGTCAAGTCCATGATTCCAAGGTCTCATGGCATATGAACGAATAATATGAAATATGTTATGTGCTATATGCAATATGTTATGTGCTATATGCAATATGTTATGTGAAGTGTGAAATATAATACGTATATTGTTGCATGTTACTCTCATAGCATGACTTTCCTAATCCGATTTTGGCAAGTCCACTAAGTTGACTTTCCATAATTCATATCGTTAGGAGAGAGTTCTTCTTGATCATGCATGTCCTTCGTATGTGCTTGCACATACCTATACTTAGTACAAGTGTATACTAATCCGATACGACTCTCTACTTTTAGGTGCATGTGCAGCTGGACTCTAGAGCTTATGAGTCGATGTTGAAGTTGTCCAAACGTGGAGCTTTCATCCGGATTTGGTAGGTTCTCATGCTTTCGAGGATGCTTGTTATTTTATTCTAGCGTTTGATGTATGCATTAGCTAGTGGATTATGTTCCAGTAGTGTTTATTTCAAAGTTATTTTAAGATATTGTATTGGTGCCAATGTTGGTAACTCTATATTTTTATACATATATGATTATATCTTTCATTTGATTATCTTGATATTAGATGGTTGTTGTGAAATCTTAAGAGTTTATGTAGACAGTCTTATACGAGGTCAATATTTATATCTATGAAGTTTAAGTAAATAAAAATTTGAAATTTTTCCGCTAAAATTTACCTAGATGATGTAACGATGATGTATGTAAGCTTGTTTGCGACATCTGCAATGTTAACGACTCCGGTTTAAGCTAAGGTCTAGACTTTGGTCATGACAACGTTGGTATCAAAGCATTAGGTTAAATTCTGAGGCTAATAAGTTCACATCGACAACATTGAGTAGTTTTTAAGTCATGGTAGTGAAGTGCACCACTATCCTGAATTAGAGACTACATGATGCGTAGGAAAATTTTCCTTCTTCTTATTATATCGTGCCTTCTCTAATATGTGATTACTAGGTGTTATGAGCATATCCAACATCAATTCTTATCTTTCACAAAATGAACACAAGGAGGAACGCTGGTCGGAGAAGAGGAGAAGCAGGTGCTGGGGGCAACCAATTTCCTCCCCAAGCCCCAGCTGCTGGATTGGAGATGCATGTTAACCCAGTTGAGTTGAGAGACGGAGAAGTGAGGACAGCCGAGGTACAGATGGCCCAAGCCATCACCTTACAAGCTCAAACTATGACAGCCCGGGCAGAGTAACAAGGTGTTCCCAAGAAGAACCCACCTGTCAGCACCATGGCTAGTAGGTTAAGGGACTTCACAAGTATGAATCCTCCAGTTTACACTGGATTTAAGATTGCTGAGAATCTCGAGGATGAGTGTAGGGTATCTATGATTCATGTCGGCATGGGCCTTTCCAGTCTTATGGTCCATGTCAAACACGTGGAGGAAATCAGGAAGAGGAAGCATACTAGGGCAGGGAACCGGTCAAGGCAAGCTGAAAAGAATTTTTCAATGAAGACTATTACTCAAATAAGGGTTAAGCCCAGGTTTAAGAAGGGACTCTCCTACAAAGGGAAGTCAAGTTCGTCCAAGGTTCGCTATGGAAGGGATTTCGAGCCTATAGTTAAGTGAAACAATGAAGTAGATACAACGTAGGAGAGGCCACTTTGTAGGAAGTTAGGAAAACTTCATGGGAGAGAGTGTAGGAGGGGCTCTAATGCTTGTTACAATTGTTGAAAACCGGGTCACAGGATGAATGATTGTTCTTATATGAGTGGTCGAGAAAAAGGGAAGGAGAAAGTTCAGCTGAATGGTTTAAGTTAAGAGGCTCCAAGGAGGCAATGATTCTTCGCACTAATGTCTAGGGGTGTAGGTGAAGAAACCTATGGTGATGTCTCGGGTGCGTAGCCAAAATTAGTTTTTCATAAGTATGAAGTTTTTTGCACTAGTATGAAATTAATATGTTGGAGTCATCATGTTGGTTCCTGACTTATGTGACTTATGTGTTTAATTATTGTGTATGCTTTGATGAGACTATTTAGGAAGGAGTTCCTTAGTCTATTAATGTGAAGTTGCTAGTAGGTTTCAAGGATGTGAACCAACCTACTAATATGTGAATCAGATATTCACCAGTACAAAACATTGAATAGCTTATGTATGGATTTTCCCTATAAGTGTTATTGTACTATAAACTATCAAACAAGGGTAGTGAGGTTTCTGTTGCCAAATGAGATAGGGTATAAATGGACAGGGCGAGGATCAATCCAACAAAGCCATATAATTTTAAATCTTAAGGAAAACAAGACGTTATCTAAGGAGTAAGATATACTCCTCCTAAGGCTGTTTTTGATTAAGAAACTCTATGTTTTAGTGGAATAGTCGTCTTGGTGTTGTAAATCCATAATCACATGAGTAATAATTGCACTATGTTAGTTAAAATGAATTCATTTTTGCATGTCATGTTGCTATTTTTGTATAGCGTCGACTTGATTTTTGTGTTGCATGAGTTGTGAGGTGCATCAATTTAAGTGTGATTGAGAAGGAAGTCCCTCAATTTCAAATATGAAGCTTCAGATAAGCTTCAGCAATATGCATTATCCAGAGTAAGTGTGAAACAGAAACTCACAAAGAGTAAAGTCTCAAGTATGTTAAGATATCTTTGAAAATCACCCTTTTTATTTTAAAATTAGGTGTAGTGTCATTCGAGTATTAATGTTCCTAAGGGGGGATAACGTAACAACCCTACAAAGTGACTATTCAAAGTAATGTCTAACGTATCTAGAATGCCTAAATTAGTTCGGTTCACACGGATTGATGCGCATAAAACCACACCTCTGAACCTTTGCAACAGCCACGAAAACTTACTTTATGAGTTAGTTGAGCTAGGAAAGGTTGGGACCAGCCATGTAGGGCACCCGAATATGAAGATTTACCCAGATGAGTCTTAGCCGGACTTAAAAAGGAATAATCTTAAGTTTAGAGAGTCTAGAGGTCAAATGGTATTTTCCAGGCTAAGGGTAGTATTGTAATTACCCTAAATATTTAATTAATTAATTAATTAAGATAGTGGAGGAGAAATTCGAGTAGAGAGGGCTGAAATTGACCCTTTGAGCGAAATCTTGCTCCATCGGGGTTTGAACCTTGGTGGGAGCAATGATTTAATTAATCTATTATATTTAGTGAATTTACTAAATTAATTAATATTTAAATTGCTGATTTAATTAAAGGAAAATTAGATTTTAATAAAAAATATAATAATAATAATAATAATAATAATAATAATAATAATAAATAAATAAATAAATAAATAATGAGGAGTTCTAGTTTGACTAAGTCTCCACCTAACTATCCTAATCCTAATCCACTCAAACTCACATTTCTCTCCATTCTCATCTTACATTTGATTATCTCTAAAAGAAGAGAACAACAAAATATAAAGTTCATCAAGAACTTGAACCCTAAAGACTCAAAAGAAAAGTTAGTCTAAAAATATAAAATAAAACAAAGATCTTGATGGGGTTGTTCTTCAAGTTTCGTTGGTGAGACTTGGTTTCATGGGAAATTGGCAGCATTGAAACAAGTCTTGAACGACGATAAGGCATGGGTTTTCTTATCTCTTTAACCTTTTCCCCAGAGACCCTTAAGGTTCAGTTTAATCGCAATTGAAAAACTAAGGTTGTCCCTGTTAAATCCCCCTGTCATTAGATCCTTTGAAATATTCAAAGCATGCGTTGGTATGTCTTTTGGTAGATAATTCTAGGCCTTGTTGTGATATGTGTTGAATGTATTTTTGGAAATTATGTAAGGAGTGAAAGTCGTATTCTAAAAATGTCTTTTATGTTAACAGTTTGAGCATGTGTGCGCTGTAAATTAAATATGTTGCTGCCTAAAATTTGTGTGTTAAAATGTTGTGTTTTCACATATGAAAATGTTTCAAGTGTGATGTTCCTATAAGGTTAACTTTGCTGGAAAAATGTCACCTGAATTACTCGAAGAATCAGCATAAAAACTTGAGAGAAAAGTGAGCCATGTTTTAAAAATTTTTAAAAATTATGAGGTCATTGGGAATTGAACCAAACACCTCACCAAACATAAATTGCATAAAAAGTTCATGAGAAAAATGAAAGGAAAAATACATGTGGTGAGTGGGGATTGAACCCAAAACCTCTTGAACCGATGAGAGAGTTTGGAGAAAAAAAATAAAGAAGGAAAAATAAATGTGGTGATTGGGATTAAACCCACAACCTCTTGAATAGAAGAAAGAGTTAGGAGAAAAATAAAGGAGAAAAATAAAATGAGGTGAGTGGAGATTTAACCCACAACCTCTTGGATAGGTGAGAAAGTTAAGAGATAAATTAAGAGAAAAAAGAATGAGCTTGTGGGGAATTGATCCCACAACATCCTTTCTTGAACGAGAAAGAGAAGAGGAAAAGAAAGGAAATAGTATAGAGTGATGAGGATCAAACTAGGGTCCCCAAATCTGAAAAAATGTAATTATCAAGCTTAATATAAGGTTAAGTGTTACTCAAGGAATTTTAAATCGGGTTTCCTTGCCCAATTCTGAATGACACATAAGTCATACGTAAACAAATATTTAATGAATGCTGCCCCTAAAATTCAAAATCAGTATCTTCGCATACCTAAAAGATGCATAATTCTTGTACCACATAATCTTGAATAAATATGAATCACTTAGACGAACTATGAGTGAAGCCTCATGGCTTTTATGTGTGATCTCATAAGTCTTGCATACGTTTAAAATTAAGTGAACCTAATATGTTATGTGAAGAGAAGATGAAACCCCAGAAGGGTTAGATAAAATTGTGACACACATTAAAGGTCCAAGTGCATTGGCATACAATGAAACAAATATTCACGTAAAGAGTTGAGTAATTATTAAGATGCAAATGTGCTAAAGTTAATGAATATGGTGACAACGTTATAAGAGTCTAGTGTGAAAGGTGAGGGAAATCTCAAATGAGCCTATGTAAATGTTACCAAGACGTACTCACCTATGAGAGTGTAACGTTAATGAAGAGACCAATCTCTATGAACATTCTAATGAGAGTTTTGAAGTTAAAGCATACATAATACTAATTATGAGATGAGAAATCATCTAATGAGATATGATTCCTCATGCTAGAAGTGTATGAGATGAATGTAATGAAACTATATACTGAGCACTGATAGGCAACCTATGAGTCGCGATTCCTTCTTTCGGGAAAGTAAAAGTTCATGCAACTCTCATAAGATGAGACTTTCCATACAGACGGGTATGGGTCTACATATATATTTCCATGTCATTGAACCTATCCTACCAATATAGGGTTCTAGCTGGGTTCGAGGTCCCTATATACGCTAGTATATTTTGGTTCACTTTGGCCGGTTATTCTACCTTTTTCATTATGGGGTTAAACACTGGATTTCATGATGCACACATGATCTATGTCAATTAAGTTTAAAGTTCCCAAAAAAGAATGAGGTCAGCCGCAAGTAATGCACATAATGAAATGAACGATACCAAAGGTGTTAGAATAGGATAATCCAGAGGTGAGCTAGACTTAAGTGATGACACTAGGTCATTCTTGGTCATTGCACAGCGAACCCGATGAAAATCTTAAAATACATCCTTGATATGGCGTGTCTTTACAATAGCTTACGAACCAATGAAAATGAAGTACATATGAATGAATGAAGCAGACTCTATGTTTGCTAAAAAAAGGCTCCCTAGTTGAGGTCCCATATGTTGAACCCTCATTTTGGGAAGTCCTAATGTCATGTCCATGATTCCAAGGTCTCATGGAATATGAACGAATGATATAAAATATGTTATGTGTTATATGCAATATGTTATGTGTTATATGCATTGTTATGTGTTATATGCAATATGTTATGTGATATATACAATATGTTATGTGTTGTGTGCAATATGATACATATGATGTTCCACGTTACTTTCATAGCAAGACTTTCGTAATACATTTTTGGTAAGTCCACTGACTTGACTTTCCATAATTCATATCGTTAGGATAGAGCTTTTCTTAATCATGCATGTCCTTGGTGTATGCTTGCATATACGCATACTAAGTACAAGTGTGTACTAATCCCATTTAACTCTTTAGTTTTAGGTGTAGGTGTTGTTGGACAATAGAGCTTAGGAGTCAACATTGAAGTTAGCGGGTGTGAAGCTTTCATCCGGATTTGGTAGGCCCTCTTGCTTTCGAGGATGCTTGCTATTTTATTCTAGCATTTGATGTACGCATTAGCTAGTGGAGTATGTTCCACTAGTGCTTCTTTCCTAGTTATTTTCAAATATTGTATTGGTGCCATTTTTGGCAACTCTATATTTTTATATAGATACGACTATGTCTTTCATTTTGATTATCTTTATATTAGATGATTGTTGTGAACGCTTAAGAGTTTATGTGGATAGTCTTATATGAGCTCAATGTTTCTCACTATAAAGTTTACGTAAAGAAAAAGTATAATTTTTTCCGCTAAAATTAACCTAGATGATGTAACTATGACGTCTGTAGGCTTATCTGCGACCTCTAAGAGGTCAACGACGCCGGTTTCAGGAAGGGTCTAGACTTTGGTCGTGACACACACGTAAGTGAATGTATGAAGATAAGTTGAGTAAAAAGAGGAGTTTTGGGGTGAACACTCTTCGTGAGTTTAGATGAAGTGTTTAGTAGCAACCTCATTATATCCCAAGAGCTTTCTATGATAGGTCGGAGGATGAATACCCTTTGTGTGTTGAGATGTGCTGTCCACTAGTTATGCTTAACCTTTATATTATAATGTTAAGAATCAGTGGGGAGTTATGCCTAGCACCAGAAGTATAAGAACAAGGTATGGTTACACTTCGTGAGTTGAGATGTTGTATTCTAATGTACCTCTTGAGATAAGTAATCCTCGTTAGTTGAGAAATATTTACTTAGTAAAAATCTCCTTATCCCTTAACTATGTCCCTGCATAGGTGTAGCTATTGGGAAATCTATGTAAAAGCTAAAAAGTATGACCTTACTCTAAGCAAGGGAGGGTCCTCCATCTGATAGGGGTTAATATCGGGATTCAATGTCTAGCTTTCATGGTCTTAGTTTGTTAAGATAACCCCCACAAAAGTAATGAAAGTACTAAGTCTTCCAAAAGAGTGTGCTACTTAAGATAGGTAGACGAATGGGACGCTAATTATCTATTGCACTAGGTAGGCATTCTGAAAGGGGAGTCTTGGTGAGTCTTATGTGAATAGAATAAACTAAGTCTTCTAAAAGAACGTGCTACTTAGAGTAGGTGGTGGGATGGAATGATGTCTATCTGTTGCACTATGTAGGACCTTCTTAAAGGGAACTCTTGGTGCCAAACCTTCTAAAAGAGAGTACTACTTAGGGTAGGTGGTGGTAAGGGATGCCATCTACTCATTTCAGTCAGTACGCATTCCTAAAGGGAAGTCATTGGTGGTTTTATTGGGTTTTCTTCTAATGTCTTGTGATTGAGTGGGGACTTGTTTTCCCGGGGTGAATAAGACAAAAGGGGTAGTCTTGAGAATCGCTTTGGTGTGTATTAAAGGAGGCATATGTGTACTTAGTTCATGTCTTACCTTGGTGAGTCTTAGGATAATCCTTAGTTGGGGAAACTCCTACGGAAATGAGTTGACTTCCTATTTGCTTTGCCTTGGAAGTTCTTTCCTTTAGAATAGGATAGTTCAATGTAAATGCTAAAATTGGATTAGCTATAATAGTTTGGAAGTTTATTGTAAAGGCTGTCTTCTGGTTAAAATTTTGGAATTCCTTCTTTAAGTATTAAATTATGTTTCTTATGTTGTTTTTTTTCTAAATTAATAAATGTTATGATTATTTGGCATGAAAGCTTTTGTTACCAAAATGTCCCTTTTGCATGATTTTTCATAAGTCATACGTAGTACATTGTTTTGTATTAAACCCATTCTTTTCTTTACTCTATAAGTATAGGTTGGAAGCTTCTGAAGGTTTGAAGGTGAAGCTCACGAAATCTACTCTCTCAAGATTTAGTATGTCCTCATATATTCGAGGACATAGTCTATGTTTCCTTGTTTCATTATTAAGACTTAGTATGTATTTTATTTCAATAAAAAGGGTTGTGTCCCAAAGATATTATGTCGTGCCTTGAAGTTGGATTTTTACGATGAGATTCTTTAAGTATTTATGAAAGAGTTTCTTTAGTATATTTTCTTGAAAAGATTTAAATTCCGCACTACTTTTCATTTCTTATGTGACGATACGAGAGTTCTTCTTAGATTCTAGGGGGTTCTTGAGGATCCTGAAAGACTTGGTATCAGATAATAAGGTTATGAGAAATAGTTTAGGACTTAAAAGTGTCACAAGCAACATCTATTTGTATCTTGGTCATTGGTGTGAGTCGCAACACATCCATGGACAAGAAGATTTAGGATGATAGAAGGTTCACTCTCTTCGCTATTATAATGTCTGCCTTAAAGTTTAGTTCTATAAGATGTCTTATCTCAACCTCTTCTCTGTGTGTTTATAGGACATGAATACGAGGAGATTAACCGCTAGAAGGGAGGAGGTAGGTTTAACTACTGAAAGGATCCCTCCCCGTGTTGACAAAGTTCCTATTTTTTGATTAGGGTAAGAGAATAAAGAGGTTCCTCTTCAAGAACCTCAAATGCCCCCGGATCCCAAAGAGCCTAAAGAGCCACAGGGGCCTACTATTCGTCAAGCTCCTTTTGTTGAAGGTAATATGACTAATGCATATTTGAGGGCTGCCATAATGAATTTGACCCAACTCATTATGGCTCAAGTTCATGTCGTCAATAATCACTTTGTTACACAAGATAATCAAGGAGTTGGACCCCAACCAAATGCAAGTACTCCCGCTTCTACAATTGGGGATTTCATGAGGATGAACCTTCTCATTTTTCATGGCACTAAAGTGGATGAAGATCCACAAGGTTTCATATGTGAGATTTTCAAAGTGGTAGATGCTATGGATGTGACCCCTAGGGATAAAGCGGAGTTATCCGCTTACCAACTTAAGGAGCTGACTCAAGTGTGGTATGAGCAATGGAGGGGTGAAAGGCCCTTAGAAAAAGGTCCGATTGAATGGGAGGAAGTCAAAGAGGCTTTCCTATATAGGTTCATTCCCTTAGAGTGAAGGGAGAATAATATGTCTAAATTCATGAACCTTCGTCAAGGAGGAATGAGTGTGCAAGAGTACTCTCTAAAATTCACCCATTTCTCCAAGTATTCCCCAACCATGGTAGCCAACCCTAGGTCTAGTATGAACAAATATGTGATGGGAGTGTCTAGATTTGTCGAAAAAGAGTGCCGGATGAAAATTCTTCTTAATGACATGGATATCTCTAGACTCATGGTTTATTCATAACAAATTGAGGAGTCAATAATTAGGCAGATAAGGATGGAGGGTAAGAGGACTAGGTAGGATGATTCTAGTCACCAAAAGCTTAAAAAAGGCTCTATCACCAACATTCTTCCATTGAAAACAAGGATAGGTCTCCAAACCAACATTCCCAAGTTGGTGGCCACACTTGGCTAGGTGGCCTACTTGTGGAAAACAACACTGAGGTTAGTGTCTTGCTAGAACAGAGGGTTGTTTTAGTTGTGGTTGCAAAGGCCACAATATGAGGTACTTCCTTAGCATCAAAGAAATATGGAAAGATGTCAATCAAGCTTCCCTAGATCCTAATGCTCCAATGAAAGAACTATGGGATGGGAGTTAGAAAGGATAACTAATCCGTTGTTGATGGTCTTTGTAAGTCTTAACCATTTTTATGACTGTTTTTTTTATGTTTTGAAACGAGTTTATGTGGTTTTATAGTTCATATGATCATTTCATCTTGATGAATTGCTTAAAAAATGGATTTTTGAAAAACTCGACATGCTTTACAGTGATAAAGTGAATGCTCATTGTAAATTTTTTTGCATTTTGAAAAAAACAATTCCTTTCCTTGATTGAAGTTTCAATGTGTACAAAAGTGTTTTATATGAGAATGTTCAATTTTGGAGAACGTATATCCTCCATGAAAAAGGATAAGAATGAATTTTGAAATTTGTGAAGTTTGGCTAAAGTTTCCTGTGTTGCAAATGTGTGAAACTGTGAAATTGTTCTCCTTGGTAGTTGGTGGTGTGATTTTTGTTTTGACCATGAAAGCAATGTCTTACGTGATGCTAACTGAGTCCTTTTTGATCTTGAAGTTTTTAGTGTCATTCGAGGACGAATGTTATTCCATGTGGGGGAGAATGTAATGCCCTAAAACGAACTAAGGTGAACTAGAGATTCGTGAATGTTTCTTGAGTGAACTTTGTGTTAAAATTAGTTACATTAGTGTTCTTAGGTAGTTTGTGAATTTTGGGTAAGTGTGGAGGTCAAATGTCAAAGAATATCCATGACCTTCTAAAGGTATGCCTTAGATAGTTGTTGTGTGTCTTGATGTTTTTCAGAGAGTTTTACGTGTTCGTTTTGTTTAAAATTTGTGCGGGATGTTCCTATGACCTGTTTAAAATTCAATTACGAACCAATCTAGGACCCACAAGGTTGACCTATAGAATGGCCCAAGACTTAGACCAAAACTTCCTAGGCAGTGTCCACCAACGAGACTAAACAATGGCCAGTAGGTCAACCTACGGCCCATTGTCTTGGTCCGTCGATTGTACCTGAAAGAGAAGTTGGCCAGGATCCTAATGTAGCTATGTAACAAACCATGAGACCCCACTAACGGATCGTTGATGGACAGATGGTCCGTTGGTTCCCAACCGTCGACTGAAGCTGTCCAAAAGCTGTGAAAATCTGCCAAGTCTTGGGGTGTTTGCTAAATTCACCAAAAGTGATTTATGACCCTAGGAAGTTATTTTAAGATTTATTTAGATATATTAAATTATTTCAAACCTTAATACATAATTTTAGACCCCATTTCATTAAACCCAAAACCCCTCACCCTTAGAATTCTTTCTTAAGTCTCTTTGAAAGCTAGAAGTCAAGAAGAGCTATGAGGGCTGGTTTGGACGTGTTCTTCATAAGAAAAATCAGTGGGTTGTATTCCATTTGAGTTATATTATACATCCTTTAACCCTCTTCCATTCAAGGATCATTTTCAAAATATTTCAAAAAGGGTTTTCAAACACTGCTTTTTTCTATCTTTCATTCTAAGCATGGTTCTTCTTGTAAAAGTATTTTAATGATTCAAATGGGTTTATTCTAGAATTAATTGATGAGTT